CCCCACTCGCAGTATGGCCAGTCAGGGGGCGCTCTTCAGCGGCGGCATGCCTGCCTGTCCAGCCCGCCGCGAGGCTCTCGTTAAGACCCGCCCCCTTGCGGCGATAGCCCTGCGACTGTCACTCCAGGCGAGCTGCGAGGCGCGGCCGTGCCATGGCGGTAGCGCGCGGTAGCGGCAGCGGCCCCTCAGTGCCACCGAATTTACCGCCCCTGAGATCGCTATCCCCTCTGTCATGAACCTGTCCCGCGTGACAACTCAAGCCGAGGCGACGATGTGGCCGGCCGTCGCGCGGCTTCGCCGTCGAGCACGTCGCCGTCGTCGTCCTCGTTGTCGTCCGGCCCGTCCGACCCGTCGCCCGCCTGGCCGTCGACCGGCTGTTTCCCAACGCACGTAAAAGGCAATTTGTTGGGAGGTATCGATTGTCTGAGCCCGGCAGGGCAGGGCAGGGCAGGGCTGGGACAGGCAGGCGGCAGCGGGCCGGGCCGGCTGGGCTGTAAGCCCATTTGCACATGTCACAACGCCCCCTCCCCGGCAAGGTGTTCCGCGGCGTTTCACAGCGTTTCACAGTGCAGCCAGGAAGCATGTGTTTGAAGCAAGCGGCGGCGCGGCGCTTCCAACGAAAATAGCGGGGAAACGGCCCCAAGCGCCAAGCGCCAAGCCCGAACGATCGTGTTGCCCAGGGTAATGTTTATTGTTTAAACAGCGGCGCGGCGCAGAACAGTAATGCAGTGGCGGAACCGAACCAAACGAACCAAACGAACCAAACCCGAAGGGACTCGCCGAGTGTGTGCCTCGGCACGGACACGCGAAAGTACACTGCCAAACCGAAACCTTGGCCGCTGGCCCGCGACAGGCTGCGAAGGCGTGGCGATAGGTCAGCGGTTCGCGACACTGGGATCGCGACCCCGTCTAGGGTAAGTACTTTGGGGTCGCGCTTGGTGCCTGGGGTCGCGTTGGGTCGCGATATTTGTCCGACCACGAGCATTTTCCCAGGCCACGAGCATTTCTGCAGGCCGAGAGCCTTTTCCCGGGTAAGGGAAAGGGCATTTTCTTCATTTTGGCCGTGGAGTTGCGATAATTGTAAGTTTAACCTCATGAAAATAGTGTCACCCGGCCTTTCGCTTTCGTGTCCCTCAGAGAGATGTTATTAACGAACACCGCGAGTGGCCTGGGACTGGGCCTGGGAGGCCGCGCGGCCCGCAGATGGCGTGGCGATGAATTTCTCAGGTACACGTCAAAAACAGAGGGGCAGTGATGGAAATGGGGGAAACGCGGCCAGAAAGTGGCCGTGTGGGTGAGGGGCAGGGGGAGGGCTGCACCTGCACTGTTCCCGTGGCTTTGTGGCTGTAGTGGACGAAACGTGCGAAAGTGGTCGAAGTGGATGAAGTGAACGAAGCGGACGAAGTGGACGAAGTGGACGAAGCGGACGAAGTGGACGAAGCGGATGAAAGGGCCGGGCAAAACGATGCACGCTCTGCGCTGCGTTCTGCGGCTGTTGTGGTCAGGGCTTGCCTCGGCGCTGGGAAAGTCCAAAGCAGGCCATGCCGCGTCCGTCGCCGTGTCGCCGTGAGGGAAATCATGTAGGTCGCGCTCAGTCTTCACACGGGGCGCCTCATTAAGAAGCCATGTGGAGCTGAAAGCAATCTCCCATCGACCATGCCACCAACATCAGGCGACCAATCCACCTGGCCACCACCAAGGCACCAATCCACTAATCCACCAGACCACCAGACCGACAAGGCACCAATCCACCAATCCACCTGGCCACCAGACCACCAAGGCACCAGGCGACCAATCCACCAGGCCACCAGACCACCAAGGCACCAATCCACCAATCCACCGGGCCGAATCAACGCCGAGATGTCCAAGCAGACGCCGGCCTCACTGTCATCGCGGAGGTGTCAGACGAGACCGCCATCACTGCGGTGGTGTAAAGTGTCTCGCGGTCAAAGGCTTTCCTTATTTGATGGGGGACAGCAGCTAGCAGCTCGGCGTTGAAGAGCCAATTCGAGCACTGCGTTGACCGCCAACAGTTCCCGCCCGGCCGTTGAATCGCGCTCGGAAGGGCTGTAAACTCGGCGAAGCGCGCCCGCGAGCCGCACAGCCACACTCCCGCGGGACCAGGCCGAAGTTCGGCGGCAGCCCCAGAGCCTCCAGCCAGACCGACTCTCGGAGTGGAGGCTCCAAGGGGTCGCCGTCGAACCGGCCGAACTGGCGGCCTGCGAGGAGGTTCACTCACCGGCAGGATGTCCTCGCCTCGCGCCGCGCCGCACCACACCATGCACGTCCTCGTTCAGGCAATCCACGCGACGGGCACGCCGAGCACTCCGAGCAGGCCGAGCAGGCCCTGGGGGCGCACCAGCCCGGGGGCCACACGCAGGCCACGTTTGTCCGTCCGGCTGGCCGTCACAGCGTCAACGACATCCCGGTGGCGACGGCGGCGGGCAGCGCGACGGGCAGCGCGTCGCCCTCCGAGGAGCACGACGACCACGAACACGACCACGACAGCGGCGACGGCGACGCCCGGACGATGCGGATCGATGGCTCGTCGATGAACTGAAAGGGTCGCGTGGCGTCCACGGCCGTGGCGGGGCAGGCCAGGCAGGCCAGGCAGGCGAGGGAGGAGTGCCCGCGGCGCCCTGCGCACGTCATCTGGCCTCGCCGTCCTGGTGCGACCCGCACGCCGCCTCGGCTCGCCTCTGTTCGAATGAGGGGCCGTGGGGCCGCCGGGTGGGTCTTTGGGGCGGCCGGGCGGCCAGGCAGCCAGCCCTCAGGGCCTTCAGGCGGCCGGGGCCGGTCGGGGCCGGGGGCCGGTCCTCCCCGGTCCTCCCTCGCCGCCGAGCCGAGCGCTGCCGAGCGCGCAGCGCGGCGATACCCCCCGCGCGGCCCGCGCCCCGCGCGCGGTGCAGTGCGCCCCCTGCCGGCCGTCGCGGCAACCGCCTCGCCCGCCTAGTCGCTCTGCCGCTCTGCTAAATGAGTGAAGCAGCTAGCCGGACGGACGCCGAATTGATTGGATAAACTCGTGAATGGCAGTCTCACAATGGCAATGGCATGCCGGCCGGGCCGGGCTGGGCGGGGCATCGGCACGAGAGGGTCAGAGGGTAGTGCGGTCTGGTAGTCTGGCCTTGGCCATGCCTCGGCAGGGCTGGCTGGGCAGCGTCAGCCGGAGCAGAACCTGGGTGAACCTGACGGTAAACCTGAAGTCCCAAACCGAGGTCCACACATCGACGGCGTTGAGTCTCGCTCTCCATTCTGCCCGCACTGCATGCACTGCTGGATCCAGACCTATGTCCGGTCCGTGACCAATGGCTTCCCCGGTGGGTGGTGACTCGGAGGCAGCCTGATGGGGCGGCCGATGATGTGACCCAGACGGCTGCTTTGCGGTTGCCTTCTCGAACGCGTCCCGCCGTCCCGCCCAGCCCCGCCCAGCACGGTGTGCGGTTTGCCCGGGTTGGCCGGCTTGGCCCCGACCGCGCGCCTGCGGAGGCAGGGGTAGGCCGTCCCGCATTACACTGGTGTGTGACGGGCTGACGGGCCGGCCTGCAACGAGGCGCTCGCCGTCCTCGCCATCGCTGAGGCATCGGCGGCCCAGCTCGACCACGGCCTTCTTGGACTTGGCGGGCGCCAGACGCGCCAGCCGCGCCACCGCACGAGTCCAAAGCGACGGACGCGTCGCGACGCCGGGCGCGTGCCAGTGTGCCAGACACGTGGAGTAGCGGCGGGCACTGGGAGTACTCCCTGCCTGCGAGGGCGGGGTCTCTACCGCATCGAAAAAAAAAGAAAAAAACACTGAAACAACAACCCACCTCTGGTCGGCACGTGGTTCGATAACCACGATGAAGTTTGTTGGTGGAACAGGAAAGGGTCACCATCGGTCACCATGATGTCAAACGATAATTTTAGACATGACATCATTGTCAATGCGGGACGTGGCTTCGTCTTATCGATAACCACGATGAAGTCTAGTCGTGTATGGTCCGAAGGAACAGAAAAGGTCGCCTTGATGTCAAATGATAATTTCAAAATGGCATCCTCTTTTAGCTCACTGGACGTCAACATGACATTCAGTTTTTCTGTTCCCAGGGTATTGATGTCTGACCGTTTTCCGAGAGACAAAAGACATTTCGAAAAAAAAATGGAACTCTTGCGCATCGTGCTCAAAGTGCGACAGTTTGGGACAGTTGGGGCAGGTCGACTTGAGGACAGTCTCTTTTCGCCCTGCTCCTCGACAGTGTCACGCAACCCCTCCCCCCGTTTCGAACAACACGTCACCTGAAGGCTGAAGGGTTAATGCGCGGCGCGCGGCCTCTCTCCTCGGCCTTTCCACCGCCTTGCCTTTTCGAACACATTCGACCCACATACGCCCACCCCTCCTCGCCCCGCCCCTCCCCTCCCCGCCACACGACGCGCGGTGCCGTGCTGAATAAGTGACACCGTGCCTTCTTTTACTGGTGTGCTGGTGTGCCGCGCCGTGCCCGCCATCGCATCGCATCGCCTTCCTGGGCCCGGGGGGCACCTTCCTGTCCGGCGGGCGGCGCTGTGCGGGTGCGGTGCTGCCGGGCCGCCCTACTCCAAAGCCTCCTGCAAGGCGCGAGACATTGCCGACCCGGTTGCTTGTGCTCTGGGCCCTGGCGGCCTGGCGTGGTGGGCTGGCGGGCTGGCGTGGTGGGCTGGCGGGCTGGCGGGCTGGCGGGCTGGCGGTCGCGCCGCCCTTGAGACTCGGGCCACCAAATACGTCGGTCTGGCCCTGGCCGGCGCCACCTCTGACCTGGCCGCCCTGGCCGCCCTGGCCGCCGTCGCGCTCCACGCGGTAGCGCTATTGCCCGATATGCAACACGTTATCTGCGGGCGCCGCGGGCTCTGCTCCGCGGCTGTAGCGGCTGTGGCCGTGGTGTGTGTGGTGGGTGGCTCGCGGCTGCCGGGCTGCACGGCGGCCCGCCCGAGCTGGCAGCACAGCAGTGGCGGCGTGGCGGCGTGGCGGCCGTTGCTGTGCGGCCCGGCCAGGCGGCCAGGCGTCGAGTCAAGTCAGTCGCCGTCGCCTCGACCGCGCTGTGCCGTGCCCCCGTGCCTCAGTCGGTCTCAGTCTCCCGGTCCCGTCGCGCCACTGCGGGTCCTGGCCCACCGAGCACGCCGAGCACGCCGAGCACGCCAGGCACCAAGGTAAGCATTGTCCAGCACTCCAGCAACCAGGCCGGTGCCGTGCTGGAGTCGTGCCGGAGCCGTGCTGGAGGAGAGCCCCGCGCCCTGCCCGCGCCCCGCCAGCTGTCACTTGAGGCTGGTGGGAGTGTCAACAGCAGACAGCGCGAGGCGCGGCACGGCGCGGCACGGCGCGGCACAGCACGGCGCCTGCCTACCGGTCACCGCCGAAACAAAGCCCGTCCCGAGTTCTGTGTTCGTTGCTTCTATGGGACAATCATGGCGTGGCGCCGAAGCACGCCGAAGCCATCGTCATCGGCTCGGAACGGAACGGACGGGAACAAACTAGCGCCTAGCGCCGGTGTCCGACTGGGCGAGTGGGCGGCTGGTGGCGGCTGGCCGGAACCAAGCCCATCCACGACGGCCTGCCTCGGCTGCGCGACGGCACCGCGGCCACCGTTCAGACAGTCGTTTCCATCGCTCTGTCTCTCTCGCACTCATGGGGCGTCCCGCACAGGTGCGAGAGAGACAGAGCGACGAATCAGTGTGCAGCCGCGACGTGCGCCCAGTCGGGGAGATGCCGGCAACAGCTGATAGTGCGTCTTCCTGTTCGAAAACAAGCGGCCAGCGCTGGGTGTAGGGCGGAGGGTTCGACGCCGGCCTGCGTCCTTGACGGCCTCGGCGGCCTTGACGCTTGACGGGTTGCCGGCGCTACGGCGCGACCACCTGGGTCGGCCTGGGTGCTGCTGCTGCTACTAGCCGTGGAGGCTGTCTCAGGGAATCCCTCGGCCTGCGAACGCCGCGCTGTTTTGATATTTGTGATATGATCTCGCGATAAGGACTTGGACAAGTCACTGCCAATAGGAAGAAGGAAGGAGGGGGAACAACAGCTTCGAGTGGGCAGCGCGCTCTTTTACTCGTGGCTGGCACTTAACACTGTACCGGGTGCCCGGGAAAATACAGGACAGTGCGATGGGTGGCCTACCCTGGCTGAGCCGCAGGCGCGCCTCCCGAGCGGCGTTCGGGTGGCTGGCGAGCAGTGGTGGGGGAAAGGCAGTGGGGATCGGGCAGTGGGGGCCCAAAGGGTGGAGGGGCAGCAAAGGGTAGGAAAGGGCTCCAGGGGCACCCACGACAACCCCGCGACTCCCCCTTCAGAGTCGCGACCACCCTGCTTTGCAAACACCCTTTCAGAGTCGCGGGTCGCGAGATCCTCGCGAAGATATCAACGGGGGTGCCACGAGGACCCCGCAAACGGTGTCGCCAGGACAAGCGCCAGGATCTCGCAGCCCGCGACTCTGAAAGGGTGCTTGCAAGACAGGGTGTCGCGTGGGTTGTCGTGGGTGCCCCTGGAGCCTTATCCTACCCTTTGCTGCCCCTCCACCTTGGCCCCCACTGCCCGATCCCCACTGCCATTCCCCCACCACTGCTCGCCAGCCACCCGAACGCCGCTCGGCAGGCGCGCCTGCGGCTCAGCCAGGGTAGGCCACCCATCGCACTGTCCTGTATTTTCCCGGGCACCCGGTACTGCCCGATGAGTTTGCGATGTTCCATACAAGCAAGCTCGCCTCAAAACCAGCAAGGCCACACGTCCTACTTGAATGCGAATCGACAATCGTGTCACGTTCGTTTGAACGTGGCGCGCCAAGTTCAGGAAGACCAAGGACGCGTCAGCCTAAATGTTTGAGTACGGGAAGTCATTCATTTTAACCCCGGAGCGCGCCAAGTATTTTGAGTACTGTTTCCGGTGCCGTGCTCGTGTGAGTGTGTGTGTGTGCTGGTCGGGACGTCCTCCCGCATTAGCGTCCGTGCATGCTAACACACGAGTCCGTGCATTGCGATCAAACACGAGTACGCGCGATAGCGTGCGTGTGGCGGCGCGGCGCCCGTCACGTAGTGGTTCCACTCAGCCTCCTGCGCCGGCAAGGCAGGCAGGGCTCCAGGGAGCCAAACCGTTTGAATGCCGTTTATCAGCGCCGCGTTGCAGCAAAGGATGGCCGACTGACTTTGTTTTGAGGTACAGGCCTGTTTTGCCCATGGGTCAGGTTAGACTCGAGCAATGCGTAACGCCCATACCACACGATTCGGTAGCCCCTGCCGTGGGGGGGCGCTCACAACCCTAATCATGTGAACTAAACTACGTGGTGTCCTATCCTTATCTAATGTAATCCTTTTCCATAACTCGTTGACAAGAAATAAGATAATTATTGAAGCCCTCTGATAGCCCTTGTTGCGAGTCATGTGTGTTCGTGCAGACACATTGGGGCCGCCCCTTATCCATGTAGGTAGTGGCACGTGCAGAGAAAAAGGGTGTCTCGCCCCCTCCTTTACGTCGTGGCACGCGCAGTGAGAGTCTGCCTCGCTCCCTCGTACGTGCAGACAAAGAGTCTCGCCCGCCCCGCCACGCTAGACGCTTACGCTACGCGCGCTACGCTACGCCAGGGGGAGGGCCGTACTCCGCTTTTTTCTCTCTCTCTCTCTCTCTCTCTCTCTCTCTCTCTCTCTCTCTCTCTCTCTCTCTCTCTCTCTCTCTCCCCCCCTCTCTCTCCCTCCCTCTCTCTCTCTCCCTCTCTCTCTCTCCCTCTCTCTCTCTCCCTCTCTCTCTCTCTCCCTCTCTCTCTCTCTCTCTCTCTCTTCTCTCTCTCTCTCTCTTCTCTCCTCTCTCTCTCTCCCTCCCTCTCTCTCTCCCTCTCTCTCTCTCTCCCTCTCCCTCTCTCTCCCTCTCTCTCGCTCCGCACGCATAATGCAGCACGGCTGCGGCCCGCCGGCCTAAATAATGCACTCCGGGAGGACGAGCTGTTGCGCAATGTTGTCCGATGCGAGAATGCTTAATCGGGAGACCCGTCACGGTGAACACTCTCCCGCCCGCCAGAGTTGCAGCGCGCCAATGCGGCCAATGCGCGCCACTCGAGATGCCAGTGTGGTGGAGCGCGGGGCTGCCAGACACCCCCTCCCCTTCCCCTCCCCCCTCCCCACCGCGCCCGGGCTTTCCCTCTCGGAATTGATAACGCCCCTAATGCCTGACCCTGATTATGTGATAACTAACTCGGCCCGTTTCAAGTGACAGATTACTTTCACATGCGATTCGAGCCCCACGCATTTAAATCCAAATCACGGCGAGATACTTATTGCGTGACTTGCGTTTTAACTACGCACCTGCTTGGACGGTGCTTGAAAAGCACTAATTGCGTTGCGATTGTTGGCCCGAACGGCTCGTCGAAGAGGACGACCGACCACGCGGCGCACGCGCCTCCTTGCCCGGAGTTTGTTTGGGGGTAATGGTGTCTCTCTTTGCTTTCGGGGCGGCGCGCACAGTCAATACTATTTGCGCGGAGTTGCCGCTTCCGCGGGTACACACCGTGAAAAGTTGCCGAGGTCAATAACAAAGTGAGCAGCCACAGTTTGGCCGAGGCTGCGGCGTTTGCGGGAAGGATACGCGGGAGTTCAAATCCAAACGCGAGTCTTCTTTTTTTGCGTTCGCCTGACTTTTTTTCACAGTGTGGGAGGGCGCGCGGACTCTGCGACTGTCGCCATGGTGACGGCGCGGGACTTCTTTCCGAAATGCATTTAGCACATACTTACCGCTGAGTTAATGAGGCGCTGGTGAATGCCGAGTTTGGAGAGGATAAGGGCTCGAAGGCACAAAGCAGAAGCCATTTCCTGCGGTAATCATCCCCCAGGCCGCCAGCCCCGCCAGCACGCTGACAGGGGCTGACAGGCTCTCTCTCAACTTTGGCTGATGTCTCTGTCTCCAGATGGGCATCATCCTCAGCTACTTGTGGCCGCTCAGCACCGAGGTGGACCCCGTCACGGGTCTCAGCCCCAAGGACAAGCACTTGCTGACCACCACCTGGGCGCTCGTCAAGAAGGACGCCGCCGGCAACGGCTCCCACCTCTTCCGGCTGTGAGTGCAGTCATTTTGTCCCGAAAAGACGATGGATTGGATTACTTTTGAAGATTTCGTCCATAACGATTGCATTTTGTGTAGCCTTGGCGGTCCCCTTGTATAACTTTGTGACATGCACAGGCTGTTCGAGAAGCACCCGGACGTGAGGGACATGTTCCCGTTCGCCCGCGGCAAGCAGTGGGCCGAGTACAGCGAGGACGCGCGCCTCCGCGCGCACGTGAGCTCCGTCATGTACGCTCTCACCTCCATGGTGGACAACCTGGGCGACGTGGCCTGCCTGGACGCCATGGTGCGCAAGCTGGCCGACAACCACGTCCGCCGCCGCGTCACCCTGGAGCACTTCAAGGTGTGCACTGAGACCGCAGTTCGATGGTTCGTGTTCCAAGGGAGCGAAATTAAACCTCTGTCTGTCCTCCAGGCTCTCGGGGGCATCCTGGTGCAGACCCTGCAGGACAAGCTGGGCCCCAGCATCATGACGGCCGAGACGACCACCGCCTGGGCGAGGATGTACGACCTGGTGCTCAAGGTGCTGGCCGACCAGATGGCCAAGCCCAAGGGCTCGGACTGAGGGAGTGCGTGGTTGAGTGCGTGTGTACCTGAGGGAGCGCTTGGGCGAGTGCGTGTGAGTGCGAGCGAGAGTGTGTGCGTGAGTGGCTGACGATGGAGTACTCAACAGAAAAACTTGTGTTACCGAAATTTTTTTTTGATTTTTCGGAGTCAAGAAGTAATGTATACCCATTGTTGTAAACTAAAATTTAGTCGGTCCAACTAGTGGTATACTTTCCCTAGTGAGTGAACGCCTCTGTACCTCTTCCTCCCCACCTTCTTTTCCCCTTCCTGCTTGGCGTCGCTTGGCGTCATTAGGACATGATTAGTAGGAAGTGCCGACTCGGGGGGATGGCGCTGAGCCTGGCTCGGCCTGGCTGAGCACACTGTATCGGTCTAATGGCCACCCGGCCACCCCACACACGCCTCTCGCACAATGCTCACACTCGTACGCTCGTGCACACTCCCCCCTCCCCCCCTCTCTCTATAACCCCCCTCGCGGATCAAAGACGTAAAAAAAAAATACTCCGGTGGGGGGGCGTGTTTCTTTTTGTTTCGCGCTTCCTTTTTTTTCAAGCAGCGTATTTAATTTATCAGGGGAAAAGCTTTTTTTTCCGCAATGAATGCGTGGTTTATGTGAATTGCGCGGTGCTATCGTATCATACATCCGTATGTACAGTGTTTTTGTTTTGTTAATTTCGATCATAATGCTATATATGTAAGCCCTTTTTTTACTCAGTACCATTGTTTGTGGGAATGCGTTTTTAGGAGCTTGGTACTTATAAGCTACGTAATGTGTGTACAATGTCATAATAATATTGAATTTACAACCATTCCACTCATTTTTTGAAATGCCGATTTAAACTTGTTTGTAGATACTGTTTTATCTCTCGGAAAATTCAGTGACCCTCGTTATACTTCTGTTTGTAGTAGTGTTTCGACCTGTTTCCTGATTGCCATTAAAGAAGGTTGTTACTGACGATGTACTTTTCTTTTCCCGCCATACATTGCCAGGGGGAGGGGCTGTCGTGGAAGGCCCTTGACCTTGGATTTTGGTTGGGTGTCAAGGGTACTGATGACCTTGCCCCTGAGTGACGATTAGAACCGCGGTCGCCACCGAGCGACGGGAGTTCGCACTCACTTATGCCGGCTCAGCTGTGGGCTGGCTGCGGGGTCGCGAGCGTCGTGGTCGCGCCGTCGCGAAGGCCATGGAGGCCACGCGCCAGACGTCGGCCCCATCACTTCATCAGTGTGAGGGCCGGCGCGGCCGGCGCGGCGAGGGGGAAGGGAAGTGATCCAAAACGCTCCGAACGGCGCGTGTGGTTCGGCCAAAGTAAATACGAAACAGGAAATGGAACCCAACGCATCCGCAACGTCGAACCAAGGCTTGGTGTAACACCCTCGAAATGTCTCGCAGTGAAATTTGAGCTGTGCAACAGGGAACTCGAGCCAGCATAATACCTCTTGGAGACGATGTCAAATTTCAGGGCACTCCTTCGAAAACCAAGGGGACACACCGCAGTAAGCTTACGGCGGGCGAAACGCGGGGACTGATTGAGACTGACGGAGCGGGGCTGGGCAGCTCGGGCTGATTCTGGGCACTTCTTTCGTCGTCCTGTCTCTCTCGCTCTCATGGCGCGTCCCGTATGGGTGCGAGGGAGACAGAGCGACAAAACGTTGTCCGGAATGATTCCCATTGAGGAGGGCTGGGCGTCGGCTGCGCGGCCCCCAGGACCACAGCACGCCGCACCCGCGAGAGAGCGGAACAAGAAGGGACGGGAAGGGACACCTCAAAGAGACTGTTTACTGGCCGTGACAACGTGACATCTCGACACTCGGCAACCGGGGCGAGGCAGGGTGAGCCATCAGCGTGTCTGGACTGGACCACTGGACTGGACCCCTCCCTCGGGCCCTCGAAGGCCCCCAAGACGGCGGCCTTTCTTCCTGTCATTGGTGCAGCCGGATGCAGACGCGAGGGGCACTCTCTCTGTCTCTCTCTTCTCTTTATCCCGCGCCCGTGCCACGTCGAGTCGACGTCAGCACATCGTAGGGGTGCTTTTCGCTTTCGAAACTCCCCGCCTCATGCAGCACTTCCAATAACCCCGTTATTCGCAGTCATTCCTGTTATTCGCAGAAGGGTAGCTTGGTCGTTTTCGTCTGCTAGCAGCTGGAGTGGGGGGCGTTGTCAGCTGTCATCGGGCTCTCTCCAGCCAGTTTTGTCTGAAAAGACGCTTTGAGTCGACCGACAAAGACAAAATGGTGTGGGAGGCGCCGAATTCTCGTATCGGGGATTACCCTGCAGAGTACAATCAGAAGGTCCATGGGCCGTATGACCCTGCTCGCTACTATGGACCGCGTAAGTGCCAAAGACGCCCTAACCATAGCATTGCCTCGCGAAAGACAGATTTTTTCAGCTAAACGAATTTTAGGAAACACTTTTTTTGTTGCCTTGTATGGTAATTCACAGTTGACCAGATCCAATGGCTTCACCTCTTTGGTAGAACTACTTTCCTGTTGAATTCTACCCACAGACCCTCTCTACACCCTGCTCTCTGATCAATTAAAGATTTTGTTTTACTTTTGTGGCAGTTACTTGAGTGTTCTTTATGAAAACTTTTTTTACAGGAGATACGCCTCTTGGAGAGGTGAAGTTGGGAGAGCTGCAGAAGTGGCTGGGCCGTCGCAACTTCCATCCTCGTGCTATGGTGCAGTGTGCCAGCCGAGGTAAGTAAATTGGTTCTGGTTTTTTATTAAAATTTAAAAGAAATACTTTATGAAGATGAAATGACTTCTATGTTCCCTTATCCACATTAATCCAAGTCAATCATGGTTTTTGTTTGTAGCCACATGGCGATGGAGGCACAAGTATGTCTTCCCAGTGCGGAGCAATGCTGCTTTTCTGTATCAGTTCATTTTCTGCACATCCATTTTCTATTACACGATCAACTACAAGAAGTTCTGTAAGTATTTTATTTTAAGTAACCTTTGGTTTCTTTTGGGTGCATTCTTGCCACTAACAGTTTGACTTGATTTCCAGGGGATCATGCTCACTACAAATACCACTAATTAAAATATCCAAAATTAAGATTGGTACTCATCACTGTAATTTTTGAGAGTACCTAGGGGACACCTTTTGTCCACTTTTTAGAGTTCTTCACCCCTTTTTGTTGGATAGTTTGTTCATGCATTTTTTGTGGTCGGTGTCGTGCATTTCTCGCTTTGTGTAAAATATTGGTGAATAAAGAAATGAAGTATTACACATGTCTTGTTTCATTACTCTATACTGGGAAAAGATTACTTATGGTGCGCTGACAGGAGAGTTATAGACAGACAGTCTTTACCGGTACCTGTCTGGTAGCTGAAAAAGTACCAACCAACAGGACCGTAGAGTTCTTCAGTCCCAATACATGTGCAGCTCCGAATTGTCAACAGCGTTCACTTTTACAAAAGTTTTTCTTGCTTACAACAGCGTTATTCAAAAATAGAAAAGGAAGGTAGGTTTTAAAAACAATTTTTCTACACTACGAAACTGAGAATCAAACTTTTTATACGGTCGCCCGCCGTTTCTCAGTTTCCGGTAAGACGCGAGGCATAACCAACTCCGAAGAATTCAAATAAACCCAATACTGTCGTCAGATGGGCATATTAAGTGCAACACCATAGTAAATTTTAAAAATTTAAATAATATTTCTTGTATATTTGGGTCCATTTAAGTTTTAGCTCTTTTGGAACGCACAGAAAATAATAGTCCACTAACTGACTCCCGTTGTTATTTTCTGTTTGTTGTTTGGAGCGAACGCCGCTGCTGATGTTCGTATTGTGATGGTGCTTTTTGAATGGGAAAAACATTAAACTTAAGGGAGAAGTGATCACAGAAAAGCAAAGATGAGGGCTGTTTTGCACAGCATTGAAGTGGAAAACTTCAAATCTTACCGGGGAAAGCAGACAATTGGCCCCTTGAAGCCGTTCACCGCTGTCATAGGGCCCAATGGATCAGGTCGGTATAGTTGTTTATGTTTGGCCAATTACAGACAATTAGCTCATCTCCCCAGGTTTCAATGCTTTAATGATTTAGTTTTATGTTTTATTGGGTGGTCCAAAATATCCAACCCTGGATTTGGTTTCTATTTTCGGGGGAATACAGATTTGTTACTATTGAGGTTATGTACTTACATTCAGTAGGGATGTCATTTAGAAGGTCTAATGTGATGTTTCATTCGTTCTGTTCTCAGGAAAATCAAATTTCATGGACGCCATCTCGTTTGTTATGGGAGAGAAAACGTCAAGTTTGCGAGTCAAACGCTTGAGTGACCTTATTCATGGAGCGTCGGTTGGATCCCCAGTGTCCAATAGGTAACCAGTCAGCTTTCCATGACATGCTGGTAAAAGTAGTGTGTAGACTGAAGTAATTAACTGACGTGGAGCATTTGTTTGTTTCAGAGCTTCAGTTACAGCAATCTTCCATATGGAAGATGGGTCTGAGAGACATTTTACCAGAACAGTCCAAGGATCATCTTCAGAACATCGGTTTAATCGTGAAGTATGTTCACCTGTTACTGTCATTTCATTCATTATTTTTTATTTCATGCAGATCATGATTAATATGTTGACTTTCTGTCTTCAAAATTTCAGCCTGTTTCAAATAACGTGTACTTACAAGAGCTTGAAAAATTGGGCATTAATGCTAAAGCAAAGAACTTTCTAGTATTCCAAGGAGCCGTTGAGTCTATTGCTATGAAAAATCCCAAGGAAAGAACAGTATTATTTGAAGAAATCAGTGGGTATGTTCATTTTGTCCTTATCATTCAGATTAACATTTTATAAAGATTTGTACTCCTCCTTGGACCCTTTTGAGCTATGTCATCATTTTGTATTCTTTCAGCTCTGGAAATCTCAAGGATGAATATGAAAAGCTGAAGGCAGAGATGTTGAAGGCTGAGGAAGAAACTCAGTTCACATACCAAAAAAAGAAAGGTATAGCTGCAGAGAGGAAAGAAGCCAAGCTGGAGAAGGAGGAGGCCGAAAAATATCAGCGTTTAAAAGATGATTTGGTTTGTATTCATAAAATACTTTTGTTTAAAATTTTGAGGTGTTGTATATAGCCAAGTTTTTACAATGCTGATCTTTTGATTTTACTTCACAGGCTGACAAGCAAGTGGAACTTCAACTCTTCCGTCTGTATCACAATCAAAAAGATATTGAACGCTTGGAGGATGAGTATAAACGAAAATCGGCAGAAATTGAAAAAATTGAGAAGAAAAAGGAAAAGGCTGAAGAAGCATTGAAAGAAAAGAAGAAGGAAAGTGGGAAAGCTTCAAGAGAATTTGCCAAAATTGAGCAAGATATCAGAGAGCATGTGAGTAAACAGCCTGCTTTGAAGTAATCAATGTGACGTCTGATATACTTATATGACTAATTTTTGCAGGAAGTGGAAATAAACCGGAAACGTCCAACTTTCATCAAGGCTAAAGAACGTGTTGCTCATGTCAAAAAGAAACTTGAAAGTGCTCACAAGTCATTATCACAAGCTCAGAAGGCTCATGATGCACATGAGGAAGATATCAGGGTCCTTGAACGTGAGCTGGAAGCAGTTGAGGGTAAACGGTTGGAATATGAAGAGCAAGTTGCTGGAGAAAGTCAAAGCAAAGGGCGTGATGTGCAGCTGGAAGACAATCAGGTCAGATTTGACTTTCCCTTTTATCTCGGTGACATTCAAGCACTTACTTTGTTTTTTCTATTGTCATACCATTTCTATTTTCACAGGTACAAGAGTACAATAGATTGAAGGAAGAGGCTGGAAAGCGCTCTGCAATGTGCCTTCAGCAGCTTGATTCAGTTAACCGTGAACAAAAATCAGATCAAGATCGGCTCGACAACGAGGGCCGTAAACGTTCTGAAATTGAAAACAAGATGAGGCAGAAGGGCCATGAAAAAGATGAGGCTCTGAAAAGAAGTCAGAAGCTTTCTGAACATATTCGGTAACAATTTATTTCACCAATTTGCAATCTACTTCTCTGCTATTTGTCATTTCATTAATTTATATTTTATTTTTATGTTATTACAGTGTTAGTGAAAAGGCTCTGGAAGAACAATTGGCTTTGAGGACTGCTTTGACATCTGATGTGGGCTCAAGCAAAGAGCAAGTCACCTCAATTCAGCAAGAACTAGAGCAGATCACGGAACAACTTGGTGATGCTCGTGTTGATAAACATGAAGATAGCCGCAGAAAGAAAAAGCAGGAAATTGTTGAGAACTTTAAGCGTCTTTTCCCAGGAGTAGTAAGTATATATATTTAGTATGACAATTTGTCTAAAATCTATCTCTTTTTCATTACTAAATGTATAATGCATTTTCAGTTTGACCGTATGATCAACATGTGTGAGCCTATCCACAAAAAATTCAACATGGCCATTACGAAAGTGCTGGGAAAATACATGGAAGCTATTGTTGTGGATACAGAGAAGACAGCCAGGCAGTGTATTCAGTATTTGAAGGAGCAGATGCTTGAACCAGAAACATTCTTGCCCCTTGATTATATTCAGGTTTGTTTTGTTTCACTGTCTCATTGTGTTTGTTATTATAAAGTAATCATCACCATACTAAACATGTTTCCTCTATTATATTACAGGCTAAACCTTTAAAAGAACGTCTGAGAAACATTAAAGAGCCTAAAAATGTACGCCTCTTATTTGATGTCCTGCATTACCAACCATTAGAAATTAAACGAGCAGTTCTGTTTGCTACAAATAATGCCCTTGTGTGTGATACACCTGAAGATGCAATGAAAGTGGCTTATGAAATAGAGCCTCACCATCGTTATGATGTATGTAGTTCCCTCCTAACATAATCCATTGAAGATTACTGCATTTTTCAACACTATTTTGGGATGCTTGGATTTTCTAACCCTGCATTTCCTTTCCTGCAGGCTGTAGCTCTTGATGGTACCTTCTACCAAAAGTCTGGTATCATTTCTGGAGGCTCTCTAGATTTGGCAAGAAAGGCCAAGAGATGGGATGAAAAGCAAATGTCCCAATTAAAATCCCGAAAGGTACTGTATTAATTAATGATAGAGAGCCTGTCATATCATTCTTTGGTAGGAATCTCCTCTCATACTTATGGTTTAATTGCTTTGTAGGAAGAGCTTACAGAGAAGCTCCGTGAATCAATGAAAAAGTCACGTCAGGAATCTGAATTGAACACCATTGATTCTCAGATCAAGGGATTGGAAACAAGACTTAAGTTCTCCAAGGGTGATAGGGAGAAGACGGTAAGCAAATTCAGTTCTAATGAAACAAACAAACTACGTGTCCTTCCTTGTGGCTCATGTTTTTATTTATTTCTCATCAGCTGAAACAAATTGATGACCTAGATCGAGAGCTTCAGAATCTGAAAACCCAATTGGAGGAATATGGAGTAAGTATTGTCTAAATTTAGTTGTAGAGATAGATGGTGTGGAGTTATTATTGAATTGTGTTGTCTACTGCCATGCAAAATAATTATTTTGTCTTGCCACAGCCCAGAATAGATGAAATTGAACATTCCATGGAGGTAAGAGATAGGAAACTGGATCAGCTGAAGGAAAAACTGAATTCTGTTGAGGATGATGTATTTGCTGATTTCTGTGCCTCCATTGGAGTTGACAATATAAGGCAGTATGAAGAGCGAGAACTTAGGTAATTTTTATTTTTTTCTTTCCCGCACTATTTAGCCTACCTCCTCTCATTTTATTACTTGTATGTCATGAATCATTCTTACCACTTTTTTCCTTGAACAGATCTCAACAGGAAAGGACAAAGAAACGTATGGAGTTTGAAGATCAAAAGAATCGTATTCAAAACCAGCTGGACTTTGAGAAAACACGTGATACTAAAGGTTGAGTTTGTTACAGTTGTGTAAAATGTTCAGTTGCACAAATTCAATGGCAGAGTATTACAATTTACATTTGTTTTATTTTTATGTAGATAACGTTCTTCGTTGGGAGAGGGCTGTTCAGGATGATGAAGATGCTTTAGAGTCAGCAAAACAGGCAGAACAGAAACAACTTCAAGAAATTGACAAAGATATGAGAGAATTGGACCGTCTAAAGGCAGAACGATTAACCAAGAAAAGTGAAGTTGATGCAATGGAGGAAATAATAGGAAAGGTTGGTATCTAGGATATTTAAATGTCCTGTTAAGCACCTCAATTTCTTTTGTCTCAATTTTTTATTTTGAAAATCTTTAGGCTAGGAAAGAAGTTAGTGCAATTGGCAAGGAAATTCAGGCATCACAGAAACAAGTTTCAAGCCTTGAAGCCAAAGTGGAGCAACGGAAAGCAGATCGTCACTCTCTTTTAAAACAGTGCAAGGTTTGAAGCATGTCTTAAAAAGTCAGACATTCTTTTGTAATAGAACTTCTAAGGACCTAATAATTTTTTCCTCAGATGGAAGACATTGTTATACCTATGCTGAGAGGAAATATGGAAGATATTGCTGCAGAAGGTGGTGATACATTTGAAGAATCAAGTAATGCACCTAGTTCTCTGAATGCCACCCAGCAAATGTATGATAGGGAAAGCAGGTATGGTATTGTAGTGAATTGTTTTATTATTTGGTAAATTGCGCGTCAGCACAGTACACCAGATCACAATTATATCATTTGGTATATGTATCTTGTTTACATCAGTTCTTGTATCTTACTTACTTTGCTGCCTTTCAGGATTACGTTGGATTATCGCCAACTGAATGATGACTACAAAGATTTAGATGAAGCGGATGAAATTAAGAAGCGTGGGGACAAATTGCAGAGAGCTATTAACAGTCTCATGGACACAATTCAACGTATTCAGGCTCCTAATATGAAGGTAACAAATTTGAAAATTATTGAAATATTTTCAATTTTGATTGTGCATTGTGTATCAAGGTTATGTCATGTGACTTTGAATGAATGTTCTTTCTGTTCAGGCCATGCAAAAGTTAGACCTGGCTCGAGAAAAACTCCAGGAGACTAATGAAGAATTTGACACAGCACGTAAGAAGGCTAAGAAGACTAAACAAAGTTTTGAAAAGGTCAAAAAGGATAGACATGATCGGTTTATGGATTGCTTTGAACATGTCTCTAATGAAATTGATGGTATTTACAAGGTATGTTTATAGCCCACAGTAAGTAGTTAACATTACCACTGGGAACTCATTTCTTCATTTACACCTCTGTTGCATTCTCTTTTGTCAGCATTTGGCCAAAAACCAATCTGCTCAAGCTTTCCTTGGACCCGAAAATCCAGAAGAGCCTTATTTGGATGGTATCAACTACAATTGTGTCGCTCCTGGCAAGCGTTTCCAGCCCATGAGCAATTTGTCTGGAGGTGAAAAAACTGTGGCAGCTCTTGCTCTTTTATTTGCAATTCACAGGTTAGTACCAAATATTCAGTATAGCATCCAAGGCTGGGTAACATGCAAACCCTTCTTCAATTAGTAACTTGAATATATGTGTTGTTTTTTCCAGCTATCAACCAGCTCCATTTTTTGTCCTTGATGAGATTGATGCTGCCCTTGACAATACCAATATTGGAAAAGTGGCAAGTTACATCAGAGAAAAGACTGCCTCGCTACAGACCATTGTCATATCCCTGAAAGAAGAGTTTTACAGCCATGCTGATGCTCTGATTGGGATCTGTCCTGATGTGAGTAATTTATTTCATCTAGCCTGTGAAACATTCTGTCTTGCTAGCCAAGTTTTCTTCATTGAATTCTTTGCCTGACTTTCAGACTGGTGAATGTCTCGTCAGTAAAGTGCTCACACTAGACCTGACCCAATTCCAATCGCATCTGGATGAGAGTGAACGCTGACAGTACGAGGAGCCCCCAGCTGTTGTTGGTGGGCGGAATAGAGCTGGTCTTCGATCCTCCAGGCAGAGGTCATCCGAAGGGTCATAGGATCATTGCACCACTTGCAGTTGCCTCATTGTCCAGCTGAAGTTTCTGTTCTGTTAATTACTTTATTTTATTTGTAAGGCTCCAAGAGTTTATTGCTTGTAAATATATGACAGTGTGTGTTTTTGTAAATTATTGTAGATGGTAATTTTTTGGCATGTTTGTTATTTTTTTTCTGCAAATCATGCAACATAAGAGTACAATGTAAGTTGTTAATATTCTGTTTTTAATTATTATAATAGGTTCAATTGGTTTGAGGCCTGATGTTCTACACAATTTCTCTTTTGTCATGCTCATCATTGAGTTGAATATTTCTTCCTGACATTATTGTAGTGTAATTCATTTTTCTTATTGTGTTCTCACTGTACCAATCATGTCAGCTGACGTTTCATTTTTTGTAGACGAAGAATGTCTTGACCATTCAATGTACCTTTTATCCTAGATTTATGAGGCAATTATGTCTACTGGTATTTGTGTAATTACTTGTAATAACAATATTAATAAATCTTATGAAGCATTACAGTGCACCTCTTTATTCAACTCCCTCATCTTGGACCATAAATGGTGAGTCAGCTCATTTTTTTTTCCTGCTCTTTGAGTGGAAGACAATCTCTTCATTAGCCTTATTCCAACAAAATGAGCTTCTAGGCTTCTAGATTTCAATCCTTTTCATTCACTTTCCTTCATTTGAACCGGTAGCGAAGCGTTTGTCACTTCGTCAGTGTGTGGACACGGACACGGAACACAGACTGTACACCAACATGGTGGCGATTTCTTTCAACCAAATGTCATTTGTATTTTTTCTGAAGCCAACCACGGTGCGATGGAACAGTAAGTTTGATTATTTTGTGGGTGACATTCATTAATGAGCTTTAGTTATCGATAGGATTTTCCTTGATTTAAGTTCCCAACTTCGTAGTTGTGAGCGTTGGCCAGCCTGCTCTAGCACTGTCGCCGCTGATTTGAAAAGTGGATTGGGCGCGTCGCCTAACGTTCAATAGTTTAACGATCATCGAAGGGCCGAATCCAACGACGCAACATGGCAAAGCCCATTTTATACAATGTTGAAGTTGAAAACTTCAAAACTTATGCCGGCAAAGTGATGATAGGACCGTTCAAGCCGTTCATGGCTGTTATAGGACCCAATGGCTCAGGTGAGACAAGGATGCAATGGGTTGAAACGACCGATGAGCGGGAGCGGTTCTCGATGATCCTCAATGCGTTACATGTCTGTATTAATCAACCAAGTATTGTGGCACCTGAACAGGAAAATCTAATTTTGTCGATGCTATCTCATTTGCATTGGGAGAGAAAGCATCAAAGTTAAGGGTGAAGGACCTCTCTGACCTCATCCATGGAGCTCACATTGGGAAGCCAGTTTCTGAATCGTAAGTAGGTTTATTGTCATTTCTTCTGGGCTTGCAACTCTTGTATAACACCATGGCTTATCACTTTTAGAGCATCTGTGACTTTGTACTTCAAATATGTGGATACGTCTGAAGATGCTTCGTCTCTTACGCCATCCTTCTCCATATTTCGAAGGGTTGTCACAAGAACTTCTCAGGAATACTTCATAAACAACGGGGTAACAATCGACATTTCTCATGACGTTTTTAAGTCTTTGTGTATGTACTATTATTTACGATTCCTTGGTGTTTCAGTCTGTGAAACCTGTCAAGTACTTGGCTGAGCTGAATGCCTTAGGCCTCAATATCAAAGCAGAGAACTTTCTCATTTACCAAGGAAAAGTAGAAACAGTAGCGCTGATGGATCCAAAACAGAGAACAGGTCTCTTTGAGGAGATAAGCGGGTACGAATCCGTTTGCTTAAAACAGTTTCTGTCTTGGTTCTCTAATTATTCTTTTATAAGGCAAAGCTGATAAAGACTAGAAATATTAATGTTGTGTCAAATTTCCTGATATCTTTAAAATAGGTCTAAAGCCTTTAAGAGGCAATATAATGATTTAAAGGCAGAGATGCTTGGAGCTGTTGAATCAAGTCATTTAGCCTTTTTAAAACAGCGCACCTTCAGAGGAGAATACCAAGAAGCAAAGCAGGAGCGAGGTGAAGTTCGTAAATATGAGCTGCTCCTTGAGGAATTGGTTTGTTGCACATCTAGCTTTAACTTGTTGCTTAAACTAAAAGAGATACAGCACAGTAAATCATGCCAATTTTCCAGAGAGAAAAGAGAGTTGAATTGCAACTATTTAAGCTTTTTTGCAATCAGAATGGCCTAACAAAGCTTGAGGAGGAATTGTCTCTTAAGCAAACAGAGGTAGAAGGAATGCAATCAGACAAAAAGGAATCTGAAAAAAAGTTGAAACATGCTGTTAAGTCTTTTGGGACAGCTAGCCGTGAGCTGGCAAAGCTGGAGACAGAGGTCCAAGACAAGGTAAAGATTTCTTGTGCGTTAGCTAGCTGCTTTGTTAGAGCATGTATATGTTATTTTATTTTCCTCCCAGGAAACTCAAATCAAAAAAGTTAAATTGCCATTTATTAAGGCCAAAGAGGAAGCTGCTCACCTGAGTAAAAAGCTGGAAACAGCACAGTCATCTTTGAAACAGGCATTAGATGTTCAGAAGAAACATTTAGATACCTTGAAATTTCTGAAGGAAGAGCTAGCAAATGTCCGGGCTGAGGAACAGAGTTTTATGGAAAGCGTTGCTGAAGAGAGTATCAGTCAAGGAAGGAGTATTGAACTTGAAGAATCACAGGTCATTTTTTGCACAGATTTTGTGCTTATTTCTTTTTCTTTTTTTTCTACAATCCTAATTAATTCATATCTTTAAATTTACTTTTCAGGCCAAAGATTACAATGAGTTGAAGAGACAAGCTGCTCACCTCTCAGGTTCACTCCGTCAGCAAATAGAATCCCTTACCAGAGAACATAAATCCAATTTAGACCGCAAGGAAAATGAAACAAGAAAATGTTCTAGCATCAAAGACAGAATTGCTAAAAAATCTCTAGAAAAAGAAGAATGCATGAAGCGCTGTGAGAAGCTCTCTGAGCGCATAAGGTTGGCAGAGAAACATCCAAGTGCCAACTGAAATTTTCCAATGTCTTTGTAACCATTAGATATTTTTTGTTTCAGTTCAAATGAGAAAGAGTTGCAAGAAATGTTGGCAAAGCAGAAAACATTTAAGTCAAGTAGTCTTTCTTGCCAGGAGAACATAGCTTCAATACAAGCTGAATTAAGTCAAATAACGGCTGAATTGAGTGATGCCCACATGGAAAAACATGATGTGAATGCCAGGAAAAAGAAACAAGTGGTTGTTGGAAGATTAAAAGAACTCTTTCCAGGAGTGGTAAATCAGCTCATTATTATTTATTAAGTGATCATGAATTAGACTTAAAGTTTTTCTTGTATTAAATTTTTTTCCAGTATGATAGATTGAAGTATTTATGTGAACCAGTGAACAGGAGATATTCCATTGCTCTTACCAGAGTCATGGGCAAACACATGAATGCCATTGTTGTGGACAAAGAGAGGACTGCTAGGCTTTGTATACAGTATCTCAAAGAACAAATGCTGGATGCTGAGTTATTTCTGCCATTGGATTATATTGAGGTGAGTTCAGTCCATCAAGTAGGTTTCGATATTTAGGAAGGCACTGAGCTAACTTCTTTTGCAGGTCAAACCATTACAAGAATATCTACGCCAGATAGGAGGACACCATACACATTTACTCTTTGATGTTGTTACCTACAACCCTCCAGAAGTCAGGAAAGCTATTCTTTTTGCAACAAGAAGTGTCTTAGTATGTGATACTCCAGATGATGCTATGCAAATGGCTTTTTATAATTCTCAGAAGATGCTCACAGTATGTGTGGAAAGAAGAGTGATTCATTTTTTAAAAATGATGTTACTCAGAAATGTTTAATAAGATTCTGCTTTCCAGGCCATTGCCCTAGATGGTACATTTTACCAAAAAAGTGGCTTAATTTCTGGTGGAAGTGCTGACCTGGCCAGAAAAGCAAAACAGTGGGATGAGAAACAAGTGGCTCAAATGCAAGCGAAAAAGGTGAGTACTTAACAAAGCTTTATTTAGTGTTTTATTATGATTATTATTTTCTTTTTTAATTCGATGAGGTTCCTCTATTTATATTGTATTGTATTCTCATGTTGTCTGTTAAGACTGATCTGTCTGAAAAGCTAAAATCTTTGCTCAAACAATCTCGATGTCAATCTGAGCTCAATATTGTAGACTGTGAAGTAAAGGGATATACAAGTAGAATAAAACTGATGAAAGAAGATCTGGAAAAATCTGTAAGTTGCCAACACATTTTTCAGTAGTTACATGTAAGTGTTTGTTGTCTTTTCCTAAACTATCTTTTGTTCTCACTAGCTTTCCAGAATTCGTTTAATAGATGAAGAGTTGGACAAATTAAATGAAGCTTTCCAAGGCTGCCAGGTAATTACTACTAACTGTTTAAAGCACTGAAAAATTTTGTGTTTATCTAAAAAAATGCCATTTTTAAACTTCTTGTTAACAGCCTCTGTTAAATGAAATTGAACAAACGATTGAAGGTCAAAGTGACAAGTTAAAGACTCTGGAGAAAAAAGTGCATAAACTTGAGGACCGTGTGTTTTCTGAATTTTGTAACAAAATTGGTGTCCCAAACATTAGAGCTTATGAAGAAGCAGGGCTCAAGTAAGTGCCAAATCACTTGTGTTTTTACGAGTCTTTAGTCTTTTTAAAACATACATGCTATTAATGTTGCAACTTGACCGCAGAGTCTATGAGGAACGTGAAAAGAAACGTATGGAGTTTGATAATCGCAAAAATTGCATTAAAAACCAACTTGAATATGAGAAGACTGTGGATACTGAAAGTTTGTACTCAGATTCATTCATTCATGCATTCCCTATGGTATTGAATAAGACAGTACTGTAGTTGAAATTTATTTTATTTCAGGTAACATCAAACGGTGGAATGATGAAATACAGAACAGAGAATCTGCCTTGACTGATGCTAAGAAGTTGGTTGAAGATAATCAGAATGCAGTAACCACTTTGACAGATGAATTAAAGATATTGAATGATGCCGTTAAAGAGAAGAGAAGTGAAGTCGATTTGAAGGAGAAAGAGACTGATAAGGTCTGTATGAAAAATGCTCAAAATTATGTGTTGTGTAAAAAAAAGACAAAAAAATATTTTATAAGTGTTTCTGACCAATTTAGGCCAAGAAAGATGTGAAGGCCATTGGTGATACCATTCATGGCATGCAAAAGCAGATGCTTGCAATGGAAACCAGCATTGGAAACCTTCATCGTGCACGTCGTGCTATTCTGATTCATTGTCATGTGAGTTTAAAGTTTCTCTTTCACTCATTGAAGGAAAAATAACATACCGGTAATTAAGAAAACCACTGTTTCTCAGGTTGAAGGAATTGTCTTACCAATAGTTGAGGGGGACATTAGATCACTTGTACCTGGTAGAAGTGATGAGAGTGAAAGTGGTAGTTCTACAAGTGCGAGTGTCTCCGCCGATTCTCAAGCAACGTAAGTAACTAAAAGATACGTAGTTGACTTCTAATTGGATTTAGAGAGATTTTGTTTGACTGTAACTATGTTTTATTTTTATCAGGACTTCACACATCGTAATTGATTATGACAGTCTCTCTTCTAATATCAGAAAGCTTAAAGGAGCTTCTTTAAAAGAGCATGAAACCAGTTTAAAAGAAAACATAGCAAAATTATCTGCAAAGATTATGTCCATGGGTTCCATGAACTTAAAGGTAACATTTTAATTAAGTTTTCTCCAAGATTAAAATAGAATTTTTGCTGTTAATCACTGTTATAAACATACACAGGTTGCTGAAAAATTAGAAGAAACCTCTGACAAGCTGAAAGAAACAAATTCCGAAATAGAAGATGCTCGGAAACAAGCAAGAAAGGCTATCAATGCATTTGAAAAGATCAAGAAACAGCGCTGCGATGCCTTCAATGAATGCTTTGACTTTGTCTCTAATGAAATTGATGTAATTTACAAGGTAGGTCCATTCTACCTCCCACCCCACCTTTTTTCTTTTGTTTAAGTAATATTTACATCATTAATCTGAGATTGCAGCAATTGACTCAATCAACGTCTGCTATGGCTCTCCTGACAGCAGAAAATGTAGAGGAGCCATATTTGGGTGGGATTGCTTATTGCTGTATTGCACCTGGAAAGCCCTGCAAACCAATGCAAAGCCTCTCTGGAGGGGAGAAAACAATTGCTTCGATTGCATTAGTCATCGCTTTACACAGGTCAGTGCAATCAAGTCCAGACTCCTCAAATAGCTGCTATAAGCCATGCATTTTTCTACATCACTGTATTTTTCTTATTTTCAGGCATGGCAAAGCTCCTTGCCTTATCCTCGATGAAATTGATGCTGCTCTCGATAATTCAAACATAGCAAATGTTGCACGTTTTTTTGACACCAACAAAAATCAATTTCATACTATTGCCATCTCTCTCCAGCCAGCATTCTACTGCCATGCAGATGCCTTGGTTGGTGTCACAGTTAATGTAAGTAGTAAGAAAAAATATCACAGATCTAGTGCTCAGCTTTATGAATGAGTTCCAACCTAGCTGTCTTTTTTTTCTAGTTCCGTGAAGACCGCAAAGGGAAGAAGGATCCTGAAAGTGTTGTGTTCCTGTATGATCTGGAAGTCCATGACCAGAAGAAGAACTAGAACAAACTAAAGTTTAATGTATTAAAAATGTATTTCAATCTTACTGCATTAATTGATTGATTTGCGGTACACAAAATTGTAACTTTATTCTATCAGATAAGATAAATTTTGCTCATCAAACATGAGCAACAAGTACTTGATCAAAATAAAAGTTATGAACAAAACATGAAGTCATTCATTGTTCCTTTACCATCACTCACACATTAATTTAAATAAATAGACAGTAGGTGAAGTGTTAAATTACTGAATAGCACCATTAATAACATAAAATACATCTATACTACATAACAGTCTTTATATTAGTATCTACATGATTTTATGACAACATAATATATGGTTTAACAATAACATAAAAAGTAAGTCCAAAAATATCTTATTAGTAATCAAGTACCAATGAACAGATGATAAAGTTTGATCCCAAAGAGAGGCACAATCATCATGCACAGGGAAGGACAAGATGAGATTGATAATGTGCTTATTCCCTAGACAAAATTAGTATAAAACACAAGGCTACGTAAGCAAGAGTCTTCTCTGTATAGTCGATTTAGTTCCAAACACATGTAAAAAAAGCATCATATAACATCCAAATGGAACTTTGTTAGAAAAGAAAGTCAACACAACAAAAATCTGCTAAGACTAGCAATAAGTATGACTGAACAGATAAACATGATAGATAAGGCACTGCATGTATGACTAAACTTCAATTTAAAAACAGCTAAATATTAGCTGTGAATGGCAGATCGTCATACCTAATTGAAATGAGGTACATTTCACCTTAACACAAAGCTGTTGGCAGTGAGTAGTTTGAACAAAATAATATTAGCTGGACTCCTGAAGGATTTTCCTAACCTTCTGTACATAAATTCCACAGAAAAATGTTATTGACAAGCTAAACAATAGTTGTGCCGATACAAAACTAAGATGGGGTCTATCACACAGGACCTAGTTGAAAATGCAATGGTGGTAAACAATACTGAGGTATATGCTCCTAAGAAAATTTCATCCATCAAAAGTCCCACCAAACATCCCCTCTTGTTCAGCGAAATCTTAAAAACTTTCCTCCCCTAGACAATGCTTTAGATGTTCCTCCGGATTCTTGATAGCTTATTTGTCTTGTCAATATATTTGGGTGGAGGTGGTCCTCTCACAGACACATGGCGGCTGAATAAGCTGAAAATAATTAGAAAATTCACACTGAAAACATGTGCGTTCAATCAGAGGTGACAAAATGTTTGAGCGCATGAGTACTTACTATCTGTAAGTCTCGGATCTTATGTAGTCAATTACATGAGATATTCCAACTTGAAGTTGGTCGGCTATAGGTGCAACCCATGGATTGTAATCCATTTTTAAAACAGATTTGTTGCCAATAAGATCCAATTGTCCTGCAATGCGAAGTTGACAATAGTCGTAAAGGAATCAATGCGTACTTGACGGGCCTGAGAGCACTGAAAGACAATGAGCTTCACACTCCAACCCATAGCGTTGGCTCACACCACATTGGCTGTGAGTTAGTGCAGCAAAAATAAAGAGATGTGAGGAAAATACATACCAATCTCAGGAGGAAGAACTGTCAACCGGTTGCCTTGGATATGCAACTCCCTTAAGCGAGTCAAGTCTCCAATTTCTTTGGGTATCTCAATAAGGTCATTGTCTCGGAGCACCAACTGGAAAGCAGAGTTAATATTCGCATTAAAGATAAACCCTTCACCTTATTGTGATTGCTATTATAGTCTCAGCTCTCACAATTTGCAGATTTTTCAGCTGACCAATTTCTGAGGGTATGAATTCAAAATCATTGTCTCCCAGGTACAAGGCTCTGAGGGTTTCTGGAAGTACACAGAACAGGTCATTTTATGGCATTGTTACAAGCAAAAAAATTTTAAATCCTACAAAGAGAATTGAGATTTTTCATTACCCAGAATGAAGAAGTTTGCAGGAAAACTCTCTTCATTTAAATTGTTGTAAGTCAAGTCAAGCACCTCCAACACAGGGAAAGCTCCAAATCCACGAGGAAGGGCATTCAGGCGATTCATCCTACAATATCATCACAACAATATCCAATGAACTGGCATGACAGCATGCTAAGATGAACCAAATGTTAACAAAAGACATTAAAATTACCCAAGATTCAGGATTCGAAGCTTTGGCATGGAAGATAGTGAAACAGGTAATTCTTCAATATAGTTGTTGAATAAGGTCAAAATTTCAAGATTGACAAGATTTGCCAAACCGGGGGGTATGTCTGAATAAACATAAACCAACATATTACTGAACAAAAGTAAATTCACAGAAATAACTTGGTAGATCAACAAACTGCGACAAACTTACCGACGATCTTGTTGTGGCTTAGGGTCAATCTAGTGATGTGGGCCATGTTAACTGAAACAGTAAAAAAATTTAAGAATTATAAGACAGTTCATTTTTTAAACATACAAACAATACAGTTTGTTGTCCAACAGCGCCTTTCAAACGGTGTTGTGTATACAAGTCATTCATTGTTTGTACTGAATGAAACCCAGAGGTTAGGTGTCTCTTACTGTCTTCAAAAGAATTTTCATTCAAGTGCATGACATGTCAAAGCATTTAATTTCCTGGCATTGTCGTGAATTGGTGGGCATCAAATTTTAACTGGTTTAATCGGGGAAAGGCTATCCCAGAAAAACAGGTGGCCCGCCCACGACGAGCGAGGCGCTTTGACAGCTCCGCTCGCACAGCTCTCCCAGAGACCTTCTACTTGCCAAATTTGGGCATGGCTCTAGCTTCGGATCCCAGAATACTTACGGAGCCCTGGCATCTCCTCGAAGGAACTGATTCCTTTCTCCATGAGGTCCAATTCAGGATTCCCGGAGGCACGGGCCTCGTCCAGCACTTTCTTCGCCTTGGACATCTTGGCGTTGGGTATGCACGACACTGGGGCTTGATTCATCGCGCACAAAAATATCAAACAGCGCGCATGAAAGTGGGATGGGCCGCGAGCGGAGCCTTGTCGTTCTAAACGCGGGTTCGTTCGCCAGTCGGCCGCCAGATGGCGCTGCCAACTTCCCCTTTCCGTCCTTTCCCTCTCCCGGGCCTCCCGGGTTCCGATTTGAAAACTGCGGCTCGTGGTTCAGTGCGTTATTCAATCTTGAGTCCAACCCTTCGCACAAGAAAGAAATACGAATGAAAAAGCACCCCTGAAACGGCCAAATTGCCGATCCTTCGCTAGAAGTCGAATGGGTTGCCTACCGCGCAGGGTGCGGCCTCACCACACCACACCACCACACGTGCGTCACGTGCGACGGGCGAGGCAGGGCAGGGCGGTGTTTTGGTCCCAGCCGTCCCAGCTGCAAAGGGCTGGGTGGCGATGCCTCCGACTGCGCTTCGAGCACGATGGCTCGAGATCGAAGAAATCGAATCGAACGCCAGCAAGGCCAGCAACATCAACACGGCCCTTCCGAGAAGCGCGACTTGTCGCCGCTCTGGGGCACGATCTGCAGACTAGATCGATCTCCGGGGCAACGCCATGGCAACGCAATGCAACGCAATGCAACGCCACCTGCTGCCTGCTACCTCTTCGACGCCCATGCTCGGTACTTGGGCCTCGACACTTCGGTACTCGATGGCAGTGGAGTGCCCTGGGCGCTGGCACTCGCTGCGACCTCGCGGGAATTCCCTCTGTCTTTTCATCCGTCTGACCGCGCCGCCGCCGTGCCGAGATTTGGCTCGTCGTTGTGCTTGCTGTGCGGCCGCGCTGCTCCGCCGCCTCCACCGTTTGACCCCCATCCTTTCACCCGCATCCCCGCCCCTCCCCCTCCTCTCTGCGTTAGCGCATTGTCAACGAGGTCAGGCCTCGCGACCCAGCTCGTAGCAGGCCTAACCAGCCGCCTGCTTCCTCACAGCGTAAAGTGTATCTGCTCGGGACACTCGTCGTTGCGTCTTGCGAAGTGCAGAGCTTGCAGGACGTCCAGAACAGCTGGCCGTCTGTCTGCCGGTGTCTTCGAGCACCAGATGCAGATCGTGCAGAATGCAGATACCAGTGCACGCGTCTGTGCGTGTGGAGTTGCTCGCGGTGCGGGTGGGGCGGCCACCGCCCGGCAGGCAGGCCGCCCAACCGGCACCGGCGCGTGGCCGGCGGATCACTGCTTCGTCGCTCTGTCCCTCTCGCACTTGTGGGGCGCTGCGCAGGGGTGCAAGAGAGGCAGAGCGACCTGCCTGCTGGTGGTCGCCTTACTGCCCTGGCTGGCGCCTGGCGCTCTTGCCGAAGCGTGGCAGCACACTGTATCGGCGTCGACGGGCCAAATCAGTTTAGCACACAAGACAGGAGCCCCGTCCCGTTGGAGCCCTGCTGGCTTTAGGCCCTAGCCCTACCTGCGGCCCAACCGAGGGTTTGACCCCAGGACTCGGCAGAACCCGCATCGGAGTCCGGCTGGGGCGCAGGTTGAGCCTCAGAGCACGCGGGGCTCAAACGGGAGGGGGCTCATGTCCTGTACGCGATCAGTTCGAAAGCCGTCTGCCTGGTGCATCAGTTGTCAGCAGGTGCACCGGCACGCCGTCGTGCCGTGCCCGGCGGCGCACTGATAAAAGCGAGTCGCAGTTCGAAGTTGCGTCTCGGCGACGCGGGTCACCACACTGCAACTGCACGCGCTACGCACGCACCCGCACGCACCACGCCACTCGACACGCGCTGACCCCGCTGCACGCGCCGCCAGCGCCGCCGAGACCCTTTCGGCCCGCGAGACTGTCGCGTCGCGCAAAAGGAAGGAGGAGGGGGCGTAAAGTCCGTACGGAGGAGCGCACTGCGTCGCGCGTCGCACTGCGTACTTCGGGCGTGGCGCGTGTCGGCAAACGCAAACACGTCTGGAGCCAGCCGGACGCAAGACGGACGCGTCTCGCCGACGTGGAGGAGGACGTCCTCCACAGCCCGCGACGTGCGAGCGCCGTGCGTCGGCCCCGGCCATGGCCCCGGCCGGCGATGGCACTTACGCCAAACCCGTGCGGCCGGGCAGGCCACAGGGCAGGCCGGCCAGGCTGGGGCCCTCGGCGGGGGCGGGGAGAGTGCGGGGAGCTGGCGGTCCCTTTTCTTTTCCTGGAATCACCTGTCCTGGTTCCTGCGGCAGGTATTTCACGGCGGAGGCCAACAACCCGCATCTCGCTCCCCTCCTCCTCCTCCTGTCCAGCGGTTTTTCATGCCTTCTTTTTTTCGATTTTTATGTTTGTTTACACGACATGACGCGGCACACACACGCGGCACGGCACGGCGGCTCGACAGGGCGGCACTAGGCGGCGCGGCGACGCGCTCGCCATCAGCTGGGTGAAGGGCGGCGAAGGGTCGAGCCAAGGACGCCGCGAAGGACGCCGCGGACGACATGCAGGGCTTTGGGCAGGGCTGCGGCGAAGGGATTCGCTAGAGTCCTAGGTCTGCCAGGATTCGCGACTCAGCGGCCAGCGCGCCCCGCGTTCCTAGGCGGGGTGCGTTCAGGTCTCTCCCTCCGCGCCTCCACGGCGCAAGCCTCCAAGCACCACGCGAAGGCAGCGCGACGCCCTGGTCGTGGGGATCGTGGTCACATCCACGTACGCCAACGACGACTTCGCGTGCGATGGGTGGCCTGGAGAGGAGGAGGGGGATAGGGAGCCCTACCTGTAGTGTGGTGGTATAGTCGGCCAGCCGTGGGCACGTTCCCAACGCTCCCCAGTCCCCTCCCTCCACCCCTTGCCACAATGGAACGCTGCCCGCCCTACGACAATCCCCGTAGTCCCGGAGTCCCGGACCCCAGGACGCCAACGGCCACGGCGTGGACCACGGCGGGCAAGCCGGGTCCGCATCAAGCCACTCACGCGCACCGCACCATTCCTCCGTATTCCATCCATTCCGACTTCGGCGGAGGAGTGCGACGCCCCCGGCAGTCCGCCAGCAGCTGAGCGATTCCGAAGAGTCGTTTCGTCGCTCTGTCTCTCTCGCACTCATGGGGCACTCCGTAAGGGTGCGAGAGAGACAGAGCGACAAAGCGATCTTCTGAATCACTCGGCAGGCTGCGGCTCTGTCGCTCTGTCTCTCTCGCACTCGTGGGGCGTCCCGCAGGCGTGCGAGAGAGACAGAGCCCGCTGTCCGGCGATCGAAATAATGACGCGCTCCGCGGCGGTCCGCCGGTCCGGCACGGCGCGGCGGTGGCGAACACGGCGGCCACGGCGGCCACGGCGATCTTGTTGGCGATGATTACTCGGTTGGCGTGGGGTGGCGCGGCGCGGCCCGGGCCCAGGACGGCCCGGCCAACAGGGAATTTGATTTAAACCGGGAGCCTTGCGCCTTGCTTAGGTCTGCCCGGCCTTCCGACGGAATTCGTTTATTGTCGAGGGGAGGGGCATCGAAGGAGGAAAGGAGGGGGGAGGGGGGCATTGGAGGGAAGAGATAGAGGTGCTTCTCAGGTAGACTACAAGCTGCGCAGGACCGAACGGCCCCGGGGGAAAAGGGGAGGGGGGGGGGGCGAAAAAAGAAGCAGAAGAAGGAGCGAGCGCAGAAGAGGAAGAAGAAAGGAAGTACCACTATCGGTTGTCGGGCCTGTCGGGCCGTCCAGGCCGTCCGGCCGTCAGCTCGTTTGTGTAAAGTCCCTCGGCTCCGCTGCGCCGTGCGCCGTGCGCCGCGCAGTGTCGGAGTACTACTCTACTCGTATGCAGCATCGCAGCATCGGCAGCCAGCTGGATTCCCCGGGACATTCCACACGAGGTGGCCAGGCTGGTTTTCGAGCCACCGGCAGAAGGGGGAGGGGGGGAGAGGGGGCAGCCAGGGCGGGAGCGAGACGGCGAAGCCGAGATACGTAGCCCTTTCTCTCTCCGACACCAAATAAAACGTAGAAGAACTCAAATGAAACGAAGGCGGGGGTCTGCAGCCATGGCAGCCATGGCAGCCCTGCAGCGGGGCGAGCTGGCGAGCTGCAGGCACTGCAGGCAGGGATCGACTCCGTGGCCTTCCTCCTGGCCTGGAGGACCTGGAGGCGGCGTCCGAGACGGCTGCCTGCAGCCGCTGCAGCGCGCAGGGAGGACTCGGGGCGTGCTCGGCGTGCTGCAGGACTCTGGTTGTCGCGGCCGCGGCCCGCACGCAGCCCTGCTTCTCCTCCTCGGGGCTCGGTGCGCGGTGCTGCACTGGGCATCACTCACTCAACGCCAAATTCTTTGATCGCGAGCATTCAGAGGGCGGGGCGGGGTGGGGCGGGGCGGGCGGGGCGGGCCCCGCATGGCCTCGCAAAGCGTCCGCCCACCTGCACAGAGTTTTACCTGGCGGTGTACCCACCTACCTTGTGGTTGGGTTTGTGTGTGTGTGTGTGTGTGTGTGTGTGTGTGTGTGTGTGTGTGTGTGTGACCCCCACCATCATCTGAGGGAGGATTCCTTCTCGCTCGTCGGGGATGTGGTAAATTATGGAAGGCGGGAAAAATTAAATCAAAATTAGGGGAGTGATACATGTGACGGTGGGAATGAAAATGATGATGCGTTTAATTTGAGGCTTGGCGCATGTTGCCAGTGCCGCGGCTGCTGCGGCACTGCCGCCTTCGCCGGGCTGCCATTGGCCCATTGGCCGGCCGAGGGATGGGGCGGCAAGCCTAGTGGGCAAGCCTTGACCAAGCCGCCTTTCTCCTGGAACCTGGAAGCGCAGCGGGGGAAAACGAAAAGCCGAAAAGCAGGGAAAACCCTTTAGGGAAGCCGCCGCTTCTGAAGCCCTGCTCTGGATTTCCTCCTAGGAAAAGCCCGGGGTAGCAGCCCTCAGTGCCAGAATTGCGAACTCTCCAGACTCATCTTTGCGCCCGCGGATCGCTCGATCGGGGAATCAGGTCCCGAGTCGTCGCCTCGCAGACCCTCGACGCCGTGCCCCGTGGCCGCGATGCACATGCCACTTTTACTCCAGCGGTGTCCAGGTCGTCCAGGTCGCCGGAGTGGCCGCTGGCTGATGCTGCAACGGCGTGCTGCCGGCCAGGGCACTGTAGACCGGGGCGGCGCGGAGCACGGCGCGGAGCGCGGCAGAGTGGTAATCAGTGTCTGCAGCCGCAGCAGCGGCAGCGCGCCGCGGGCCTCACCGCGCCTCGCCGCACCGCGCCCACCGCGCCTACCGCGCCACCGCGCCCAGCCCGTTGTTGTCCTCCACTTCCCCGTCCCGTCCCCGTCCCCGTCCTCCCCACCCGTTCGCGCGCCTCCCCTGCGCCTCCCCTCCGCGCGCCCCCCGCCGCGCCCCTCCCTGCCCCTCCCTTCCCCGCGCCGGCCGTACTCCAGCGGCTCGGCTCGGCCCGGCTCGGCTCGGCAGGCTCGGCGCGGAGGGAGGAGAGGGAGAATTCCCTGGTGATCAGTGTTCCCGCGAGCTCTGGGAGTGCCGCTCCGCGCGACGCCGCCGCCGTCGCCGCCGACGCTGCCGTTGTCGTGTCCCTTGGATTTGCCTCTGACTTGTGTGTGCGTGTGAGTGAACCCTGCCGCCAAAATGTTCAAGCTATTCGGCGGCCTCAAGCAGTACTTCAAGCTCCCCGATGTGGTCATCGACTCGCCCATCTTCCGGCTGCACAACCTGTTCACCACGGCGCTGCTGGCGTCATGCTCGCTCGTCATCACGGCCACGCAGTACGTGGGCAAGCCCATCGAGTGCATCGTCAACGGGCTGCCGACGCACCCCATCAACACGTACTGCTGGATCACGTCCACCTTCACCATGCCGGACGCCTTCCAGCGCCAGGTCGGCAAGGAGGTCGCGCACCCCGGCGTGGCCAACGACTTCGACGACGAGGACGCCAAGAAGTACTACACCTACTACCAGTGGGTGTGCTTCGTGCTGTTCTTCCAGGTGGGTTCCCTTTGGTTCCCTTTCCCCGTTTCCCTCCGCGTTGCTCCCCTCCGAGGCGCTGCGGTACTTTGTAGTAGTCCGAAGCGGCCGGCCCGGGTCCCGTCCGCCGGTCCGCCGCGTCGCCAAAACACGGCCCAAAACAACAGCAGACGAAAAAGCAGACGAACACCGACACGGGGCGGAGGCCCCGCGCCACGTCAGGCTGCATTCGCAATTATTTATTGCTTTTATTTATTGTTACTATTTGCATTGGGCGGCCGGGGGGGCAGGCGTGGGGCAGGCGAGGTGGTGGCCGAGCGGGCTACACTATAAAAACGCAGCAGTGGCCTCGTCGCTTGCAAGTGCGGACTGCGGTGCGGTCGGGTCAGCCCCCCTCGGACTGCATGGCTGCATCCACTGCATCGCTGCAGCCTGCAGCCGGCGCAACGGCCAGGTCCAGCCACGGGCAGTCCGCAGCCAGGCCGTAGCCACTGCATCAACCAACACCAGTCCGCCCGTACTTCCTCCACAGCCCCGTTCAGGGCGGGCCAATACGTAAAGTGAGGCGGACAGAGGGGTGACACGTCCTACTGGGTGACAGGGCCCTGTCAGGGCCGACATGACTGTCGTGTCGCTGGTCATTGTGTTTTGGAGTCGTCGGATGACGGCGTGCGGCCGTGTCACTTTGTCGGCCGAAAGAGAAGACTGACGAGCGACGGCGAAGGTGTCTCGCCGACAACGCTGTCACTTTGGCGCCCCGCTCCTTGGACCGACGCTCCGACCGGCAGAGCGCGCAGTGGCGAAGCAAACTACATACGCCACTACACCACTATACAGGCCAAGGCACACCGCGGCGCCGCGGGGTCGATGCCCCTCTGGCTGCCTGCCTGCCAGGGGCACTGCCAGGGGCACGCACCGTAACCCGGACTCTCGATCGACGCCCCCTGTGGGTCACCTACTTCCCTACGAGGAGGAAGGGGGCGGAATCCTAACCGCAATACGAGCGCGGTGCAACAACAGTTCGGGGCGGCCAGCTCGGTGTGCTCGATGTGGGGCCGGTGTGGGATAAATCAAAGGCGGACGTCGCCGCGCCGCGCCACGCCGCCCCGTCTGGATGCCGTCGGCGCTTTAATTGCATGTAATCGGATTGGATTAGGCTGAGCCCCGGCGTCCGGCCTGGCGTAGCCTGGCGCTCCATCCAGGATGGCCCCCTTCTCGGAAGCCAAGTGGAGCCCCGGGCCTGGGCCTGGGCCCCGCGCGGGGGAGGGGCCTGGATGCGGCGCGCCGACTATACCCGGACTGCACCCGGCGGCTGCAGCCTCTAGGCGCGCCGCTACGCGCCGCCGCTGCGGCCCGGAGTCCCAGAGTCACGACCTGGCGGCTGCGTGCTGCGCCGCACGCTGCAGGCCGCGAACATCCTCCTCCACGACGGCGCCGATTGATAAAATGGCCGAACGCGGCCCGTCATCGCCAAGTGCCTGCAGCCGAGCGATTCGGAACAAGCCTCTGTCTCTCTCTGTCGCACTCGTGGGGCGTTCCGTGAGGATGCGAGAGAGACGGACAGCTCTCCTGAATCCCACGACAGCCGGCCGGACCGCCGGCGCGTCGTGCTGGTCTGGCGGTCGGCCCCGCGAGCGAGTACACCAGCACACCAGAACACCGCACAACGGTGTCATTGTAACGCGCGGGGAAACTGCGCGCCCTGGCTTCGGCGCTGCTTCGGCACCGCTTCGGCCGGCCTGGCTTTTGCTTTTATCTCCGCCATCGCGCGGTAATGCGACTGTTTGCCGGCACGGGGTATTCCGAACGCGTGTATCTTTCATCAGCTGTCCGACCGTTCCACGTTCCACCACGTTCCACCGCCGCGCCTGGGGTGCGGCGCGGCCCTTGCGGCGCGGTGCCGGGCTGCTGGGACGCGGGGGCCGGCCCTAAGCGAGGCACGCGCCGTCCCGACCGAGGCCCCGACCGCCATTCCTGGCTTCCAGAGCAGTGCCGCGGAGCGGCGTCCAAACACCACCACGCTGCAACATTCCCTTTTTTGTGGCCCTTGGAAATTGTCTGTTACACTGCACTGCACGCATGTGTGGCGGTGCCGCCGGGGCGGGCACATCACATCCTGCCTCGGCCGCCCGGCCTGCCGCCGGGAGGTAACTGGGGCCCTTCTTGTTCACCCAGGGCTACACGGCCCTCACGGACCGGCACCCAGAACGTACTTCTATTTCCAGCCCGGCGCGTACATCAGCCAGTGTCGCGACGCGCACGCCGCGCCGCGTCCGCCACGTGGTCGCTCACGGCGCGGCCGTTTACGTTTTGTCCACTCGAACCCAAGGGCCCCGCTCGGTTCACTTTTGGGCCCCCCTATCAAGCCCCGCGCGCCGCCCAACGCCTTGATTTGCAAAGACCCCTTGCAGCTGGGCTGCTGGCACCCGGCCCGCCGCCACCACTCAATGACGGCCTTCATGTCGTGCCTCTCGGATTCATCCCACTCTGTCAGTGCAGTGGGGGGAAACAAGCGCTACTACTATGTAAAAACCTTGAACACAGTAGAGCGGGCCCCCCCGCTCCGGGTTTAACGACTTGGGGTCCCGCCTAGTACCACCGGCGCCCGTGCCAAGCGCCAATTGTTTGATGAGACCGGAGTTGCTGAATGTTCCTCTCCTGAGTTTCCGGCCGCCGGCCCGTCATGACGGCCTTCTGTCTGTCTGGTTTTTGTCTTGTCTGTCTGTCTGTCTGTCTGTCTGTCTGTCTGTCTGTCTGTCTGTCTGTCTGTCTGTCTGTCTGTCTGTCTGTCTGTCCGACTGCCCGGCTTGCTCTTATTCGTGACGCCCCGAAACGATTGGTAAGAATGTTGAAAGGCAGCGTCCTTTTGCTGTCCTGCTGACGCTCGAACAGTAATTGTTTTTCATGTTATTTTGTGCTGTCGCGCCGCTTGTCAGGGCGGGAACACATTTATATGCAAATGGGCCGCGCGTCTGGAGGCTTGAGGCGTACGGGGCGTACCGCGGATGGGGCGTGTCGCTCAAAGACACCTTCACCTGCAACTGACCGATTGTATGCACTTTTTCGGGTCACGCGAACGTTTTTGGCGTTTCCGTCGAGGCCGAGGGCCGGGGGGGTTGCGAGGTCCCCGATGGCCATGGTAGCGGTTCGTCCTTGGTTTGTCCATGGCTCGCCGCACTGTTCGAAGTGCTTGTCACGCCCCGAATGTCGACACGGTTTCGTCAGGGTGATTCTGGTCCGGCCTCGCTAATCTGGTTAGCGCCATGATCGTTGCGTGATGCGCACGCCCGGATGCGATGCACTGGACGCACCAGCGACGCCACACTGTGAAGCGCTCGCGAGATGACAAGTTGAACTGGCTTTTCCAGCGGCAGCGGTTCAGCGTCGGTTTCTTTTTAGGAATTGATAAGACTTCGTGTCGCCGGTCCGTTCACATCACACACGCCCGGCTGACTGATTCAACGGCGCGCCGTGTCTGTCTGTCTGTCTGTCTGTCTGTCTGTCTGTCTGTCTGTCTGTCTGTCTGTCCGCCTGCCTGCCTGTCCGGCTGACCGACGTCCTTATCTCATTGGGAGGGACAATGTCCTATTTCTATGATTAGCTTTTTCGGTGGGCGTCTGGACGGTCTTCCGGCCGGCGGAGGCTGCCATGCGATGCCATGCTAGCGACCAATGACACCATGTGTGCGACACCACTACACTGTGATTCGGTGATTACGTCCGCGAGCACGACGGTCGGGCACTAGTCCACGCGACGGTCCAGATGACTGCTGAGTCATTCGCACTGACCCTGGCTCTGATCGGTGACGCAACGACTCTGTACACAGGAAAGACGGAGCTTATTTTGGAAACTATTAGACTTGCCACAGGAAATGCGTTACTCTGACCCTAACTGTCCGACAGCCGAGTTGTACGTACCTACACGGGAAAACTGAGGTCGGTTTGATGCGGGAGAGGCTCCGCTCTTTGGGTCCGAGCAAGTCTAGTCAGTCTCGGGAGCCCTTGCTGCAGCCTTACCGCCCAAGGCTGATGCAACGAGGCGATATATTTTGTCCCAGTGGTGCGGCGCGCGGAGGGACGTCGGGGACGTTTTGCCAGACGCAGCAGCGCGAACCTCGAGGCGGGAAACGCTGAATGTGAATGTGGCGGCGAGGCGCGGCGAGGGCACTGCAAGTCTCTGTAAGGGCCACACATTTGCCGGACGGCACACTTTGCGGTTCGCCCGAATTGCCATTGTGCGGCGCGCCGACCGCCGCGGCGACTGCAGTGCTCTGCACTTCGGACGTCGCCATCCAATCCGGGGAACACCGTCGTCGGCGTCCTCGGTGTCGTCGGCGTCGTCGGACCCTGATGCGATTATGCCGGGAATGCCCTCGACGACACCAAGGCCCGTCACCCTACGCGCCATGTCCGCTGGCTTTATCACCGTGCAACTCGGCTCGTCATCGACGCGTGGATTCCATTTGCAGTGTGGCCGAGCTTTCTTCGAGCTTCCGTCTAGTCGGCGAGATTTCGCGAGGCGTCGCGTCGCGGCCGTAATCGGACGCTCGGCGAGCCGAGGCGAGCCTCCTCCGTGTCGCACTTGGGCGACACCTCGGCCCGCTTTCGCGGTGTGGCGGCGCGGCTAGGCGCGGCGTAGCGGCCCCCTGCTGATGCCCACACCGGAAGTGCGGTGAGGCCGGGCGAGGCCCTGCAGGGCGCCAGGTTGCACTGTTGTGCACTCCGCCGCGCGGCTCCCGTTGCAGCGGCGCGTTTTCGCCGCCGTTTTCTGTTTTCCGGCGTCGCGGTTCGTGTTCTTCGGTTGGTTCGGCGGGGCGCTGGGCGAGGCGCTCGATGTCCTCCGCGTCCTCGACGTCCGCGTCCCCGCCCCGCGATCGCGTGCGTCGTCGTCATGTGACCGTCCGCCCGCTCGCCGGCCAGCTCTACGCTCCGCCAGTGTCCGCCAGCTCCGCGCCGCTGGACGACCTAATTGGTGTCAATTTGCGCTGCGAGCCTTGCCGGACAGCGCAGGGCCTCGCTGGG